GCATGTTATTTGTAAATGACATTGGTATTGTGTGATAGCCCAATGTAGCTCTCCTCTAAAACAGATGTAGAAAAATAAAATAAGTATCAGATATAAAATATTATTAATTGTAAAACATTTTTGTCGATAATAATTATTTTATGTTCGCCAGCGAGTTTTTATACTTTATTTTTCTATGGATATCAGTAATATTGGTCAAATCTCACATATGCTTCAATGTTCTTTGAAAAATAATTTTATTTCCAACAATAGAAAATGTATAAAATTAACTAATACCTTATTTAGGCCTATGGGGTGAAACTAAACATATTTACATAAAATGTTTTATTTGTAAGATTTTTCTGAGGGAATAAATTTAGTAAAGTAACAATAAAAGTTATTATAAAATGTCTTAAATACCCTCAAAAAAGCAGAATGATGTTGAATTTTGTGATTAAAATATAGGAGAAAAATAATAATTGTAGTTGATTTATATACACCATGCCAAACTCTTCTCTTAATAATTTCTTATAGTTCTTTATATAATTATCATTCATTAACATACATCAAAAATTGTATTTGTCAGTTATGTGTTTTTAAGTTGATTAAAATACGTTAATTATATATAGATTGTAAGATGTTAATTTTTCTGGTTCATGGTATTATGTAGGTATTGTTAAACTTTTAAACACTAAGTTGTAATGAAAGAAGAAAAAATGATTTTTTTGAATTGTATATACAGTTATATATTGTAATATATATTCAGAAAGTAAAATAACTCCAAACTATCCATAAATACATTTCTGGGTATCATCTGCACAACACCGTGTGAATTTTAAAAGTTTGGTTGAAAACATCACAGATGAAATCTTCCACAGAGTAGATCAAAGTATTTGGTTATTTACAAGAATTTTGAAATGAACAAGGACACACTACCTTGTCAATCTCACAGTGTACAAAAGCATGGGTACATGAGGTGTATGAACATGTGTAAATTAAGCTATTTCCCTGACTGAGGGAAATAGCAATGTGTGTTTCTCATATGATGCTGTTGCTAACTAATGAGCTATGTTTAGGGTTATCAAATGTGCCACTAAATCTAGATTATCAGATTTTTTTCTCACTATCAAAACAATAAAAGTATTAAATTGTCCCAGTTTCTATGTACTTCAGTGTGAGTTTGATGTGTATAGTTTTTCATTATATAAGGCTTTTTTAAATTTTACTTGGTCCCCCATCTAATTTCATGTGGATAGAATTCTTGAAAGCAGTATGTCTTTCTTTTCAGTATTGGTACCTTTACATATTTTTATTCTACTTTTAATGTTTACAGTATATCAAGAAAAAAAGCACAATTTCCTATATATAGATTATATATAAAACAATACAGCTGGCAGGACAAGCAGCTTTAGTGGGAGTGGGAATTCAACCTGAGATTCTGAAGTTTTGTGGGGAACTTTTTTCAGTCCTAAAATTGACAGTACACTAGTTTTGGAAATTGAGGAATTGTTATGAAAGTCTAAAATCTTTGCATTAAACTGTGATATTAATTTTTTAGATTTTATTTTAAAGGCAAGATATCATTTGTCTGTGTATATGATGTTATAGTTTATAATTTTTGAGAAATAGAAGTAATCTTGCATGTGAATAGGCTCCTAAATTGTAAAGTTTTCATGTTCTGTCTTTGTTTAAAGTGAGAGCATTTTTGGCTATCGAGATCTGAAAGTCCAGCTGTATTACAGTGCTGCACGTTTGACTACATTCCTTGGATTGAAGTTTGGAGAAAAAATAACACCTGACAAAAGTGATGGTGTTCAGGTAAGGTAAAATAAACAGCTTGCTTAAAAGTTTTAACATTTGAAAATATTATGTTAATACATAGTTCATGTGAAGATTAGTTGCTTGCTTCTATTTGGAAATGACACCCAGACTTGTCATCACCACATGTGCAATTGAGAGATGTGGTTACCTGTTTCATGAAAGCTTACTCATTACCATAGAAACAAAATTATATTTGGAGTGGGTGACTGTATATGTAGCCTCTCGTGTCTAAGAAATGCTACATATTTATCTTGTGCCATGTTTGCATGCACTGTTATTAATTTTCTTAAATCACCTTGTGTTTCTAAGTAATGTTTTCCTTGTTTTATTAGCACAACAACAAAACTGCTAACTGTATCTATAAAAACTATTTGAGGGTGATCTGAGTCTGTTAGGGTTAAAGATTGTTACACTTAAGTCTTCGTGATTTGATATGAATAAATGGTCATTTGTTTTAATAGGCTGATGAAGTGATAAATGTAATTGGAGAAAAACTGCAACCAGGATTTTACCAAAATCGTGATGACTTTATAGCATCCTTGGCAAAAGATGCTAACTTCAAACCTCATGGGGAGCTTCTACACACTTTTAATAAAGAAGAAGGTGAGGAGATCTTTGCAGTACTTGTTAAAAATTTGTTGTTGTTTTTTTTTTTTTGTTGTGTGAGATATATTGTCTTGAATGCAGTTTTTCATAAATATTGTCCCTGGAAAACTAATTATTATATCTAATTCCTTTTTAAACATTTTATTTGTTATGCAAGTGTAAAAGACAGCATTGAATGCCTCCTTTTTGTCTTGAAAAAGTAATATAGTGCAAAATATTTCTTAATGAAAATTCTCATATTATGATGTCACTTGTTTGACTGTTAGAGAACAAAATGTCAGAATTCGTGTTTATAAGAACTAAGCTCATTTAGCATGATGTATATGGTTGATGTAATTAGAATTAACTTGGTTGAACATAACACACCTTTAGTTTCTTGGTAATAGTAAAAGTTTCCTAGGTGCATTGTTACTTAAAAGTGTATAACAACATCATGCATGTTATCCAGTTGATTTGTTAATGTTTATCAAATCATTCAATCACTAATGACAAACTGCTTGAATAATAATTGACATGTTTTGGAAGGAGTTGTAGGCTTTTACCTTATGTAAGTACCCTGTTACTGTGTAAATTTGTTCAAGAACCTTGATTTAGCTATTTGTTTGCTTGCATCTAAAATGAGAATGTTCTGAAGATAGCTACAACATATCTTATACTAAGGTATAATTTTTAGTGTTATTAAAATCCATTATTTTTGATTTTTGAAATCTCATTCTGTTAGAAAGCACCAAAAGAACTTTTGAAGTTTATCGAGCAACAGCTTTAGATCCGGGGTTTAAAGAATACCATGAAAGGATGCAGACCTTTGTTTTGTGGTACATTGATGCAGCTTCATTTATTGATATAGATGATGAATTGTGGGAATTCTTTGTAATGTAAGTATGATTTGGATATACTGATTACAGTACTTATGCTACCAATACAACTGTACATGTGTGTGCATTTATATAAATTATGATTTTATTAACTTTTTATTCATTGTAATTCAAAGATGTACTTTTGTAATTGTTTATTTTGAACATTAATGTTTTTTGCAGTCTGTTTTTAGATAAGTAAATGAAAATATACTTTAAAACAACAATTGCAAGCAAAAACAAAAAAAAATCCTAAATCCTTTAAACATAATCCAAATATAGCAAAACAGCCAATTGCCAAATGTTTTCAGTACAGTCTTATAATCATCTTGGTACTGGCTAGGTCAATGTGACTGGCCTTTTAACTCCAAAGTAACCATCAGAGTTCCATACTATAACTTTTATTGTTTTTTGTATTTTCACAAAATTTGGCAAGCTTTCAGTAAACATTAATAGCCTTTTGTACACAAAAATAAGATTTTTTAAGTATTCTTTATCCAAAAATTTGTCTGTGAATATGTGGAGTCAAAGTATTGACTACTCCAAGTGCAAACTGATTTTCTTCATATTAAAATAGTCAGACTCCATTTGAATAATTTCCAAAATCCACCCAGCTCCTAACTATGAAAGTACCTATGAGAGTAATTATACTATGATTTTTTTATAATATCTCTACAAAATTTTGCTGGTTATTGGTAAACACTACAAGGATTTCGTACACAAAATATCAGGTTTTTTAATTAAAGATTGTCTTGTGAAATTTTTTCTTTCAAAATGTTGACTATCCAACATGCAAAGCAATTTTGATTTTAAGATTAAAAATACTTTCATGCATCAGAATATTTTCAAATTACACGTGCAAAGTCTTTATAATGTTCAGATAATTATCAAGTATTTTTTAGAAAAAAACTTTATATTTTATCTGTTATTTTTAATGCTGTATCTCTGTATGGGTTGGGTTGATTTGACTGACCTCGTAACCACCATAAAAAATTAAAAATAAATATAAATTATGCCTTTTTTTGTTCTAGAATGACTGCAAGTTTTAACACAAAAACACAAACATTTAGTCTAAATAGTTTAAATTTCATAATATTATACATTTATATATATTTATTATGTTTATTATACTGACCTTTCAGCCATGCCTGGCTAACATTATAGAAGTTGCAATGATGTGGTGCACTTGCACTAATGTTACCATACCCGAGAATATAAAACTGGCCTTTACAAAGTAACTTGTCTAGGCTGTGTTTTAGTGGGCTAGTATTTTGCAAAATACAGTCACATGCTGGTTATAATACATTATTACTATTTAGAAATAAGTTATTTAAATTATTTTTCATAAATAAAGAACTATAGCAAAAAAATTTTCTTTTATAGTTAAGAACTTTCTACTCGTTTGCTGCTTGCCGCAGGTTGCTAAGCCTTATCAAATTTTACAAGTTGAGGATGTGAAACGAAATAATTAATGTTTGGTTTTATATATGCATTTTGAAATAACCAAAAATCATAAGTTACTATTTCAATAATACAGAATTCCACAATAATTTAACAAGCTTAGTATCTAAACTGTATTTGGGTTAAAAATGTATGAAATTTTGAGCTCACTAATATCTTACCTTACTGCTTGGAATCTATCACGAAAATAAATTATTTGCTGTGCAAATAATTTGCAGAGGCTGAGAAAACCACTAGGGGGACATTCTGTAGGTTCAACTGATTATACACACATCATTGGGTGAAATAGGTGTACGTGAGCAAGTATTTTCAAAAATTGAAGAGGTTGGTGGGGCTACTGTGTTTGATTCAGTAAATGTAACAGTATCTCAGCAAACAGAAAAAATAGGAGGCTCTTATTTTTATATTGTAGCTTGTCAATATCAGTAATTTGAGTTCCTAATTTGTAAGAAACTATAGACTTTGTATTTGGATGTCACAAACATCTAATTTGAACCAATGCTGCATTCAACGTACCCACGTGACACACAAAAATCAATATTTAAGTTTTTTTTTGCTTTTAAATTAAGAGATTAACTAATGCATAATACTAAAATTTGAATTATAATCTATAATTTGATACCAAATTTATTCACATATGCTCATAAAATAATAGTTCAATTAAATTTTGAATACGAGTTTACAAACACGATGACATGGTCTTTTACCCCTGACCATAGGAAGACCTGCAGAGATAGGGTTAATTGATTTTTTATTTACTTAAATAATGTACCTAAGAACAGAAAATAATAACTTTTGCAAAGCAAAGAATATCCTATAACTATCATGATTTGTCTGGCTTCCTAACTATAGCATAAGAGTCTTTAAGTCTTACCATCAGCTTGTAAATATGACCACTGCAAGAGATAATTTCAAAATGGACAATACTTTGTTCTGAAAAACATGATATAATACACCATTTCATAGATTAAAACTCTGACTTTCTATTGGATATAAATAATTTGGTATAAAATGTCAGAGAGAATTATTGTTAATTTGTAAAAGAGATGATGTGACAGGTGGGTGTGGCAAATGGGTCTGATTTTCTGACTTATGACTCCATAAACAAATGAGTATATTATAATGAGTAAGTTACATTAACTTCTGTACTTCAGAGTGGTGGTGGTGATAAATATATTAGAGAAGAGGAAAGACACAGAGAACAAATGTCACAATTTTCATACTAGGGGAGATTGGGGATTTTTAAAAATATTTCCTTATAAAATGAACTTAAATCTTATATTAAAATTTGACTTATAAACCATGTTTTCTTGCCAAGTTAATTTGTATACAATGATAATAAAGTAGTATAATTAAATTTTGAATATAACTAAAAAGTCATGACATGCATATTTTGACCTACCCATAACAAGAGAGTTTAAAATCTTGCAAGCTGGTTGTTGTAAAGTTTTTAATGCAAAAATTCTCATTAAAAATGGACAATGACCCAGACATGCCTTCAACTTCAAGAGGGAAACCTACGTGATATTAGAGTAAACATAAGTTTCAGACAATACAATTACAGCATAGAGTTCCTACTGATTACAAAACTAAACTATTTAGAGTATCATGCCTGCCATCAATTGTGCCTGTTAGATTGTAAAGTTTCTGTTGGAGGTAAAGATGACATTGTAAAACACAAAAGCTGGAGGCCACATTACTTTAAGCAAGGGTTGCATCAAAGACAGCAAAGTCTTTTTTTTTTTTTTAGAAAACCAGATAAATTTTGTGAGTTAGGGGAAGTTGTCTACTTTTTGCATGTTATTAGTTATGTTTTTTGGTGCATTATTTAATTAAATCAAAATTATTTTGTGCATTACTACCATTACTATAAAAAAAAGTACGGTTGAGTGTCATCAACAATCGACAACAAGAAAAAAGAAGATTGTAAGTACTTCTTGTTTTTCATGTTTATTCTTTATTTATTATTATCAAAGTAACTAAAATGTAAAAAATAGGGATCTCTTTAAGTTAGTTCACATTAAATTAGGTAAAATAAATAATAATAAAATAAAAACATTTCATGAGGCAAGTGAGCTGCACATTCCCCGAGTGATTTACAACTTATCTTGGCACAAATAGTAGTTTGACACAGTTCAAAGAGCAATAAAACAGTACAATTTAAATATCAATAGATGTATACTGTTACAAGTTTAGAGCTACTTAGGATTAACGAATGTAGTTTCACACTACATTTGAATTCATTCTAGAAAGAAAAAGAAGGTAATTTAGATTTTTTTGTGGTTACGATTTCAGTCAAATTGACCAACGTTATATAGAATTGGGATAAAGAAAATTACAGATAAAATATAAAGTTTATTTAAAATACTTCACTATGAAAGATTTATAATTTTTACTGAAAGACTCCCATATTTCGTGAAGATATACACACTATATTAAACGTTAGTAGTATCAAATCTATAAGGACTATGAATGAGTACAAAGAGGTCACATGGTGTGTCCAATTGACCAAGCCTGTGTTGAGAGAGGTAACCACAGCAGATTGGTAATTGTTATTTTTTATCATAACTGATGCCATCACCAAACTTTTATTTGAGCTTCCCCTTCACCAGCAGCCAAACAAGTAACTACTGCAATGATATTAATTTTACATCTAAATTCTCTAAACAAATGTTTTCATGAATATAAATAAAATAAACTATATAAATACTTTTATTTTCTTATCTACTGTATTTATAAGCAGTTGGTAAGTAAACACATTCACTTTGATTTTTAGTTACACCATAGTTTATTGTTAGAAACTTGCTTTGAAAAATAAAAACAGTGCTTATCATTATGATGTTGTGTATTCTATTGCTATTGAAATAGAATGCTTTATATTTTTCTTTCTTTTTTTATTGGATTTTTATAGCCCTAATAGCATACCACTTTAATATTTTGATTGCCAAATATAGCTGCAGTTTAGTAATCAAAATTAATTTGATGTTGCTTATTATTACGTCTTAAGGTTTGTTAAGCAATGTTTTTCTCATGTCTCTCTCTCTCTTTTTTTTTTTTTT